CGATTTTACATTATTTTCAAAGAAACATTTTTCCAAATTTGAAATTAAATTTGTTTGAATGATTGTAAGAAATGTACGTTTACATACCTTTGGCTGTAGCTGACTTTGCAGAGGTGCCTGCTGTTATTGGTTAGATTCCAGTAGGCCCCAAGATGTTAATATGTTAACACAAAGCTTTGTTTTGTATTACCTAACTATGAAATAGCATCTGCGAAGCACAGAAGAGAAGCGTATTTGAACGAAAAAGCCGCCGAGCACATATCTATGTAGAGTAAACAAGCCCACCGCTGCATCCCTTATTCGATAGTTCCGAAATAGTTCTAAATTCGACAAATAGGATCTAGTTCGTTCTGCATCCCTTTTTTCTATAGTTCCGAACCATTTCTAAATTCGTCACTTTAGATATAGATTTATAGTGAAAAAAACTGAAAAAATTAGTTTCTTAAAAGTACCACTTTTCGCCGATTTTGGACTGGTGGGGATCTAGTTCCTATCGGAATAGTTCGTTTTTGGCGATGAAGACCTTGTACGGAACTAGAAATTTGATTCCCTAGTCCGCAGTTTCCCTACAGGGCATACATTCACCCTACGTGTAACAGTGCGCGTGAAGAGATCATCTACCGGAATTCATAAAATATTTTCGATGCGATCTTTTACACTTTAGAAAGCTAATCTACGAAAAAGTTTGAGTACCGATAACACCGATCCAAAAGTACACACAGTGCTGTTAACTGTAGACCGCTTATCCCGCAACAATCGCCGGTGGTATTTTGCTACCCTCTGGGCCGCACACGGGGAACTTCAGCTTTTTTCTGAGATCAGAAATAAGTACAGTCCTCCTAGAAAGTCTCCGTACAAAAAAGCTTAAAGTATTCTTAATCGTCCAACCATATTTCTTTATCAAAAATTTCGACTTGCCAAAAAAAAAGATATGAACTTCACATTTGCTATTCACCAGCGTTTAGCAAATTAATTTCCGTTAAATTTCTCTTCTTTCATTGTATTTCCTATCAAGCTTTTCTTGCTAGTCACATTCATATTATGCGTAGCTGATGAACCGCTGCACAGTGGTTCAAAACTGGAGTTTAGTGTTCACATTTGACTGGAACTTTAATTTTTCACTCAATTTGATAATTTTTTTTTATGAAAGCTAATAAAATATGCAAGAGACCAGTTGAGCGCGATTTATGGGAGCTATAGGTTATAGTGACCCGATGTTTGTAATTTGCAGTGTAAGTATTCTCTTAATAAAGGGTGGATGTATTGCAAAATTTCATGTTCCTGGCTGCACAAATGGAGGAGTTATAACGAAAAACCTCATATCTGAACAATCAGTTGTATGGGAGCTATATGTTATAGTGGTCTGATTCTTCCGGTTCCACCAAATGATTAATACATTGTAAAAATACCTTCAATTTCCAAATTTTATCCGGATATCTTGAAAACTTAGAGAATATATTGCATACAAACAGACGGGCACGGGATCATATACACCCAGAAAAAGGTTTAGTTATAATAACCAAGGTTTGGTTATTGTAACCAAATGGCAGAGTTGGATATGGCGAAATTAATATTATGTTGATGCAGCTCTGCAATTTGCTTGAGCATTTTAGTTGTGGTAAATATATATATGGTAATAGTTTCCAAATAACTGTATTGAGAGAACCAAATGATCTTTTGGGTTAAAACTATTATCAGTTGTATGAAATTTTTATTGACTCGAACAAACACATCATAAAGTGATAATTACATACGTGTTATTTGAAGCAAATGCGATTTGGTTAAAAGAAATTCATATTTGCGCAAATGAAATAATACTCAGGTTGGTACAATTTTCAACTTGGTTATGTAAAATTTCTAAAAGACTTCATTCAGGCAAGAGTTTAGTATTGGAAAACCATTGTTTTTTTGATATAAATAACAAAATTAGTTCTTCCAAATCGATTTATAGTTGCGGCAATTCATACTATTATTGTGTAAACTAAATTAGGAAGTTTGTCCAATAAAAGACTTTGTTGGTTTAATAATGAAATTTTTTATTGTAAATATATAGGGGTAGTTCACACTTGCCTGGTTATCTGGTTAAAAATTATTACTCTTTAGTGTATTTTATTGTTGTAAACTGAATAAAAAATATAACCACATAACCAGATAACCTGATAACCAGGCAAGTGTGAACAACCACATAGTATATATCACACAACTCAAAAATCAGTTCCGAAAATACTTACAAGTAGGGATATTCTTCTAAACATATATGTACCAGGGATGTTGCGGATATTTGCATTCGCATTCGTTATGCGAATGATTCGCATCATTTTACACATTCGCATACGCGTCAAATGATACGAATGTTTTGCGAATGCGAATGTGCACATGGGCAGAGAGTCCACTCTAATATTGTTGAAATGGCTCTTAAGTCTGGCTAACCAGGGCGTTTACGATCAACCAAGAAAATGCCAAAATCAAGTAAAAAATAAAAGTATATTAATCCTTGCAAAGAAATTTCGGATTTTATTAGTAAAATTAAAACATTTTTCCTTAGTTTAAAATTTATTTTAAGTTAAAGACATTCTTTATGTTAACGTAAGTTTTTTGTGTAAACAAAATACAAATTTTGGTAGCTGATTTACGAAGATATAACTTGCATCATTTATGAAGCACTTAAATATATGTTTATTTACATAAATAAATAATTATAATACTCATTCCAAGTCTCTAACGTTTATAATATTTTTCCCATTTCCGGCTACATGGACTTTTATTGGTCTGACATAAAACTGGTGATCAAACTTAAAAATTTTTTCTATTTCATTATTTCTTGGCAATATAATTTCATATCCTTTCATATGATTGATATAAGCTACTGTTACACATATTTTGTAAACTAAAAAAATATAGTTTTCATCTAATACAATGTTGAAAATTATTCCAAATATTGGATAATCGAAAATATCGTTTTCAATATAGATAGCCAAACCTGGTTTATAGCATGTCCCATTTGTCTTTAGCCATGAAACAGCTTTAGTGTTAATTCCAACATATTGGAATAAATTAGGTTCAACACTTGTAAAATTGTCGGCAATACAGCCATATTCTACATTAGTTTTAAGAACTTTTTGACTTAAAAATGTATAACAAAGTTTCAACTGAATATTCATAGCAAGCGAATAAGTTATGTTCACACGCGAGTTTATAATCCTAGCATATCTTTTTGATAACTGATGAAAAGATTCAAACTTTGCGCTTGAAAAATATCGCATTGGTCCCATGTTTCTTATGCAAGTAGGATAATGTACAAGAAAATGACATTTTGGTATGAGTGTATTAAAAAATTTTAAATAAAACTGGTTATGATTCATGATAAGCTGCTCGAGGTAAATGATTTCATGCTCCGAAATAACTGAGCTAGTTATGATGACAATCATATCGTATAAGGTAAGATAAAATTCCCATGCAATATCATCAGGGGGAACTAAATCACCTATAACAATACCGAAGTATGATACTAAAGCAGACATTTCTGAAGCAGTAATTATAATACAACCCTTACGAATATGATCGGTAGAAATCGAAGAAATTTTTTTACCTCGATCGGCTTCGGAATAATCTTTCGTTTAAATTATCCAAACTGAAATATTGAGAACTTATGCAATGATGAATTATTTTGGCCATATCATATCTACATACGCCTAAATATAAATCGTGCATAAGGTCACAAGTGTTGTTTGTTATACAATGATAATATGAAATCTCATTAAATATACATTGCTCTTTTACACCATAAGACAATGTTTGTGCATCAGCTGCATAATTATCTACTTTTCTTAAAAGTATCTCATCCTCTACAAGCCCGAAGTTACAGTCCTCTTTTGAAGCCTTGCAAAAGCGACAAAAATATTCTGCTCTGAAGCATTCCGTAAATCCAAGAAGGCTATTCATTCCTAGATTATCTCCTAATATTCCAACGACTACAAAAAATAGTTGGTAAGTTTGATTGTTAACATTGATTACTATTCCAACGTCCGCAAGGTAATTAAGCTCATCAATTATTTTCCAAAAACACTTTTTATTTCCAAACTTTTTCAAGTCCACGCTATGAATAAATTGAGCTAAGTAAACACTGTCAACTGACGAAGCAAATTCTGGTGGCATTGACGCCTATTTTATAAACACCTGCAGCACTCGAAAGAGGATTACTGATTTCGAAGTCATCATAATATAAATATAATGGAATAAACGTTTTGCCACAAAAATTTTTACAAATCTTTTTCCAAACACGACCCTGGAATAAGCTTGTATACAATGTAGGTGAAGTATTTCGCGAATATTCATCTTCAATGTGGCTTATAATTGTACTATAAACGTTTGGAAGCTCGAACAAATTTTTTAAAACTCTTCTCAAAGGAATAACTTGAGCATAGCATATCTTGTGTGTGAACATAACTACACCGCCAATACTTCTATCATCACTTATTTCTCCAATTGGAATCGATTCTGGAGATAAAAGTAAATTATTATTTTGTAAAAATTTTAATCGTTTATATTCCGTGTTCAAATCGGACCAAATGCTTATTTGTAGACAGGAGCTTATATCCTTATGATACTGTAGCGGAATAAATGCTTTTAAATTAGCATCAAAATTGTTTATGATTTTACTCGACAAAAAATCAAAGTTATTAACAATATCATTTACTACCGATCTGGCTATTGATGGATTGCTATAAAGCTGACCAATGAATTGAAGTATATATTTTTCTATATTATTTTCGACTAAACTAGTATTTATATCACTGCTAGGTACTACAGTATTATATTCATCACAATTTAATATATTCAGATTTCGTGTTGACCCAAACGAACGAACAATAGAAGTATTCGTTTTATGAGCTATTATAATACATTTGTCTAAGTGTTTTTTTAAAGATGATATAGACACGAATGTACGTTGACACGAATCGTTAAGGCAACGATAGCATAATTTATTACGATGCATAAGTTGTATGTGACGAATTACTTGAATTGAATCACGAAATAATTTTCTGTTGCACATATTACACTCCATGTTGATTAAAGTTATAAAAGAACATGCATATAACGTTTACAGGAATTTAATTACGATTATTTAATTTACAGCTTAAACTACCCAGTAGCAAATTTAATAAATTGCCAGCAATTTGTGTGCACTATTTAAAATACATTAAGAAAGTTGCATTTTCTTGTCTTCTCTTTTCATCTGATTCAATGTATTAAATACAAAAGGTATTTGCTCATCTGACTTCGTGCGTATTTCGTAAAGGCCCCATTGAATCAAATAACAAAAGTTCTCGCACTCTAATGGGTATTGAAGATTGAAAACTAAGTAAATTTTAAAAAGTAAATCAAGTGCTTTTAGAAGCGACGGCAACTCATACGATACCGAGTCGATTCTCACATAGGCTTTTTGTATATTGGTGAAGTCTTTACCTATTAAAATTATGAATGGTTGAAGATGCAGACCCATGTCTAACATACGCTTTCGTTTAAAATCAACAATTCTCTGAATATCGCCAGGGATCTGTAATTTAATCTCTAATGTCATACCAATTTTTAACTTTGAAAGTTCCATTTACCTTTGCTTGGACGATAATGCCTTCTCTGGATTCTGCCACTGTTGGTTTCCAGAACCGTACCTTTCCAGCGGAATTTCCCCCCTTCGACAAACGAATTTTGTTAGCTCTTGGGGCCATCAAAGATGCCAGGAGATGAAATTGAATAGCCGTTATTGAGTCTTCAGTGCAATAAAAGGAAAAAGTAGTTATACATAATTAAGGTAATTTTTTGAACTTTACATGAAGTATGTTTACCTGGATGTAGCTTATCGT